CGCTGACTGGGCTAGGCTAGACTGCCCACTTGGCCACTTGCCTACGGACTGTATCCCCACACAATGAATGGCCGCTTCCGGAAGATTTTGGACTCGACTCTTCGGTACTGTAGCAGCATAGCAGCTACGACCTTGACCTTTCAGTACTGTAGCAGCTACGACTACTACCACTGCTAAGACTTCTGATCTACAGACCTACAGTTCGCGACCTGGCAACCACACTACCTACGGTAAGCAAACAGGCGACTTTCCAGACACAGGTCACAGGTTCAAGCTCACACGGGTCAACTGATACTGTACATGGGTGAGGGCGAGGCCTAGGGATCGAGCCCTGGCAACTGCATCTGCCGTTTCATTTTCTTCCCTGGTGTTCTTTTTTTCCGTCTAAACACAAGTGGACGCCCACCTTGGCTTTCTCGTACTCTTCTGGTGGCACTATGCATCCTGAGTGCTATGTGCACTGGATGGCTGGGCACTAGGCACGAGTATGTGGCTGGGTGCTGTGAGTGATGAGTGGTTATGCATGGTCAGGGTGTATGTGTGCTGACTGGTACTGTGTGGGCTATGTGCACACTGGGTGGTACCACATGGGGCAGGTCGTACTGTGTTGCTCAGGTGATACTACGTGGGCCAGGTTGCAGCACTATATGGTGTGGGTTGTTTTATGTGGACCAGGCTGGACATGTGGTCTGGGTGCAGGGAAAAGAAAATCCCCCCCCCCCCCTCCCCGAAAAAAAAAAACAAAAAAAAAAGGAGAACCAGCCGCCAAAATAGGACCTATCGTTAACGACTTGTTGCTGTGATGTTGCATTTGCATGAACGTGTTGAGAGCCCGCCCGCTAATTTCACCAGAACGAAAGTCCTCTGCAGTGGAAGCGATATGTCCCGGCTCCTCTGAGGTGAATCCAAGGAGCAAACAAAAGAAACATTCCCTTTGCACCAATACAAGGCTGCATGTACTGATGACTTTTGCACCAAAACAAGGCTGCATGTACTGATGACTTTCTTCTCCTCTGCTCATTGCATGTGCCGTCCACATCTGGACACAGCCAAATCTGCTGAGAAACTTTTGGGGATGGGGGGGTATAGGCGTGATATAGGCGCTGTCTGTCTCTTATACACATCTAGATGTGTATAAGAG